GCCTAATGTATAGTTCACTGGTATGGTTTTCCTTATGTGGTGATACATGCAGGGGAATGTAGCCAAAAGACTCAGACTTCTTGGCAAGGTCATCCCTATCTGGTATTGACAATATGAAAGGTGTAATTCATTTTGCTCCTTTTGTTCCATCTGATGGAAGTCAGCACCCATGCAGGTTTGCTAATCACAAGCATTCAAGTATCCTAGTTCCTCTCTTTTCATTATAAATTTATTATTGAAAATAAACGTCTCGCTTTTGCCACTTATTGGGCAAATCATTTAAACTCTGTGCCTTCCTGTCTTCCTTTGTAAATAAAGTATTATGAGGATTAGAGAAAATATATTTAAATATCTAGCACAAATAGTGGTTCATGGTAAGCACCCTTATAAATATCATTATAGCACATTCTAATTATTCATCTATGTCTCTCCCTTACTAGATAGTAAATTTCTCAAGGGCAAGAAATTCATCTTTGTATCCCCAACACCTAGCACATCAGTGCTGGGTGCATGGTAGAAAATCTGGGAAACACACTAACATGCACATGTTTTGCCTTCCCAATAGACGGTCAGCCCCAGGAAGGCAGAGAACTTGTAATGTGTTTCTCTTAAATCCTCCACAGCAGCCACCACAGTTGTTGGGCAAATTAGTAAGCACTCAAGGATTCAAGGCACACTATGAGTGGACCAACATACGTTTCTCAGGGGTTGCTACACTGTGGAAAATCACATGATGCAAAGTCTGAAGAACTAGGTTCTAGCCTTGGTTTACTCCCTCAATGTGAGATGTCTGCCGTACTAGCTAAAATCCCTGGGCTTGTTTTCTGCAAAATATGGGAGAGAAAGATCTAGAAGGTTATCATAGGATGAGATAAGATAAAATAAAGTACCGTATAAATAAATGTAGAATATAACTAAAAGGTACAAGGGAAACACTCATATCAGGGTTTTTTTATATGAAAATGGTTCTGCCTTCCGTACATCCCACTCCAGGATAGAATAAAAAAGCATTATATACCATGATTATGCTATGTTTATGTAATCTTCACACACCTTATAAGCTTGAAGGAAGTATCCTAGCAAAATATGCTTTTGACATTCAAAATAGAGAACACTGCCCTGGCCTAATCCAGTTGTACTCACTGGGCAACAAGTACCCTGGGATCACTTTTCAATCTGTCAACCTGCAGCATGGCTTAAATAGGGCAAAAAATGCCAAATTTCCTCTTCGTTTTCTTACAAAGTTTAAGTCAAAGGCAAAGCCAGGAATTGAACAAACTTTTTCAAGGAAAACAATGTTCCCGACTTAAACTGAAACAAATTAAATGGATTGCTTAGAGAACTATGCTCTATTTAGAAGAGTTTTCTGGTAATCTAAAGTTAATCAGAAAACTTAATTTTATTCTAGCTTCTCTTTAAATTCTTCTTAATATTTATTAGCCTACTAACCTAACTTTGTAATTTAGTAAGTGTGGTATACTGTACGTAATTGAATCTTTATTTATAGATTTAAGACCACTTGGCAGGGATGTTGTAGAAAGGATGTGAGCATCAAATGAGTGGTGGACTTTAGATAAACATTAAGATTGCCTTCGAATCTGACAATCTCGGATCTGAATAACTAGTTGAACTTTCACTCATAAAAATGAGCATCTTTACTTCCAAGTTGTTAATTAAAAAAATGAGCATCAATTACCATTTGGCAGTATGGAAGTATGAACTAATACATACCCAAGACGATATAGCTTAGTGGGTAAGACTGAAGACAATGAAAGCCAAGTTGTCAAGATTTATATACTGGCTCTGCTACTTGTTAACTCTGTGAACTGAGCAAGTTATGTAATCTCTCTGCCTCAGTTTCCCCATGTGCAAAATGGGAATAAAATTACCTATCTCAGCCAGGCATGGTGGCTCATTCTTGTAATCCTAGGCCAAAGCAGGAGGATTGCCTGAGGCCAGGAATTCAAGACCAGCCTGAACAAGAGTGAGACTCCGCCTCTACAAAAATTAGAAAAAATTAGCCCCACATCATTGCATGCACCTATAGTCCCAGCTACTTGGGAGGCTGAGGCAGGAGGATTGCTCAAGCCCAGGAGTTTGAGGTTGCAGTGAGCTATGATGGCACCACTGCACTCTAGCCTGGGTGACAGAGCAAGACCCTGTCTCAATAAAAAAAAAAAAGTACCTATCTTATAGGGTGGCAATGAGGATTAAAAGAGTTAATACATCTAATGTGCTTGGAGCAGTGCCTGGCACATAGTAGATGCTCAAAAAAAAAAAGTGAGTTATTCTGCTTTGTATTGGTTTACTGTGTCAAAATACTAGGGACTGCCCATACATTATTCCATTAGAGCCTTAAAACAACCCTTTACAGGTGTGGTAGCTCAACCTTATGATAGCTTTAAAATGGTAGCTCATTTTAAAGATGAGGTAACTGAAATTCTGAGAAGATGAGTGCCTTGCTTAAGGTCAGTGCCTCAGATGGCTTGAATCCAAGGGTCCTCTGCCTCCCAAGCCTGTGTTGTCTCCATCACAGCACCCCACTTCCTCAGTATGCCAAAATTATTGAGCATGTACAAAACTGAGCTGAACTTATGCTAACTCAATATATATCCCATAAACTGCCCTTTGAAATAATCCCTCATACTTGCTTGCTTTCTTATCAATACTCTTTCTTAAAGTAGAAGAGAAATAACTCCATTAATTAAAGATTCACTGAACCATGGTTTATGTATAAATGGTGAGTGAAGTTCAAACAGCTTAATTAACCCAACTAAAATGGTGAACCTTCTTCAGCTTATTTCTTGTCTTAAATCCTTTGTTGTTCTTTGCACAAGACTATAAAATTTTGCCCATTATGGTTATTCTAATTCTTTTCTGAATTAAGACCCTTGTCTACTACTCTTCTAACCATTATCTCAACTGCTATATGCTACTTAGTGTGTATGTCCTGTCACTGCAAAATGGTAACTTCTGGGCTCTTGAAATCCCCAAAGTATCTTGTCCAGGACTAAAATAACTAGCATTCAATAACTGCTTGATGCTTTGAATTTGAATGATCTAAAACAGACACTAAGCAAAGTGTTTTTTCCATTCTTCAAGAGCAGTCCGGTAAAAGATATGCCATATGGAAGATGAGCCTTGAGGGGAAAAAAGTCTAAAAGACCAAAAGAAAGAAGCTAACTAGGCATGAAGAACCTCTGAGTATTAAAAAAGGTAGGGGAGCCAAGGTAAGCCTCAAGAAACAAGGAGTCTGGCAGGAGCAAACGAGAAAAGTAAAGTGGGGAAAGTGGGAGGGAGTGAGAAAACATTTAGGGTTTGAAATGGAAGAGGAATTCTAGAGTTAAGGTGGGTTCTGATCCAATGGAAAAGTATTGGATCAGAAGCCTTACCAAGTTTCTCTGGCTAAGGAGCCTGGGTGGCCATCTGTGGGTGGCCTGCACTTAAGAACATAAAAAACTAGACACAGATACAAGTGGAGAGAAGTGTCATGCAGCAGGGAGTGGCAAGAGTCAATCCTGAATGCAGGCATTTGGGTACAATGTGCCCTTCAGAGAGGGCATGGTGACAGTATGGGCTAATTTACAGAGCTGCCAGGGCAATAACTCAGAAAGCAATACTACCTTCTCACAACAAAACGAGGCAGCCCCAGAATGTTTCACGGTGGTAAAAACTGCATTACAGCATACTGAGATCCCGGAACCAATGAAAAGAGACAAGTTTACCAAAACGAGTCTTGACACAGAGTACGTTTCTGGCAAATACATTATTAGGCACTCATTCTACTCATGTACTGAAGAAACTATTTAGTTTCCTTATATGGCCCTTCTCTTCAGCTCTCCCTGTATAATAACTAATGTCTTCTTAAAGAAACAAAGATAGAAAAGGAATAGAATTGTTCCACTCGTTCCCTCCCACCCCACTTTTTTTCAGAGAGGTGAGTGGAGGCTCATATTATTGAGAATGTCAGAGAAGAACTACCAACTTTTGAAATCACTTTTTAAAAACTGATTCTGCCAAAGAAATCTATGTTGATGGGGGAAGACAAGGGAAACATTGCAATTATCTATGCTGGCTGCCAGAATTAAGCAGTCTTGTTTTAACCGTAACGGTTTTCTTTAATCCCATTAGAATTTTAACTTGAATACTCTACTAGAACAAAGATAAAATGTGCATGCACGGGTAGCAATACTATCAGGGCATATGAGATCAAAGAAAATGTCAGCTGTCACTCTTAACTGTGAATCAACTTCTAATGTTACTCCTCTTGTTAAAATTCTTCGATTGGCCCCCATTATCTACAAATGAAATCCAAACTCCTTAGCAGGACCCCAACTTCATTTCTCTATACATTTTTTCCCTATTCTCAAATTCTACAGTCCATTTCTTGCCAAAAGCCATGCTCTTCTGCCTGGAAAATCCTTCCCATTCCTCTTTGCTTGGTAAAATCCTACCCATCTTTTAAAGAATTGCTTGGTTTTTCTCTCCTCCAGAAAGACTGTCTTAACGCCCACTCTCCTACGAACTCTTGGAGGACCCTGTGCTTATCTGTCATTGTACTCATATATGGCCCTGTCATTTCATTTTACTGGCTTGTGTCCTCCACTAGATCCTGAGGACAAGTGCCAATTCTATGGTTTCTATTATATTTTCTAGTTCCTAGGTCAGAGGTCTGACACATAGTAGACACACAATAAATGCGTAGTAAATAGAATTCTCTTATAAAATCTCACTTTCTTTCAAAGAAGAAAATATCTACTCTCTTTAAAACCTTTTGTAAAATAGGACAACTATCTTCCTCTTTGACCACATGTACAGCCAGAATGATTTTGAAAGAGTATACCATCTGGGTCATATCCTTCATAACATTTTAGGAAGCTAGTAGCTGACTGCATCACTTGTGACATCAGAAAGGAGGCCAACATTTGTAGAGCCTATGTGCATGCCACTATGTACTGAATTTATGCTACATACACATTACTTTAGTCTTGACAACCCATGGTAATTCATTTTAGCTCCACTCTGATAAAGAATCTGAGGCTCAGAAATTTGCCTAAGGTCATATAGCTATAATAGTAAGTGATGAAGCCAAACTCATACAGTGTGCAAGATCAGGACTAGATTTCCTTCTAAATGAACTAAGAAATGAGGTTGGCCGAAAGTAAGACTCCCCACAGGGCCGAAAAAATGATGAAGGCAGCAAATAAACTTGTGCATCTCAGACTATGGGTATGCAGTTTTAACAATATAAATGGAAAACCAGCCTTGTTCCCAGAGTTTAAAAAATTGTACACACTGCTGTCATCCTGTCAAATAATAGACTCATCAGACATTCAGTTTGAAGCAGTGTTTTAAAACAACTTCTCATTTATTTAACTCATGTGGATAACATGGTAGAGTATTATGTAAAAAGCAAAAAAAAGCTACCACTCAAACCTTGCAGAGTTTAGGCAGCAAATTGGGCACAGAGATCCTAGGATCTGCATTATCCCTTGAAAAATGGAACTCCAACCAGCACCAGATTTTTCCAGTTCAAATTCGGTTTTATTAGAGATCCCAGCATAATAATTTAAAAAAAAAAGACAAGATTGTTGCTTTTTCTTTAATTTTCCATTACTATTTAGAAAAATGACTACAGGCAATGACGAAAATAACCATTTAAAAAGGATTCCTCTCCAGAAGTTTTTTGTAAAGTTTTGAGTCCAGGCTTTCCATCCTTCTCTCCATCCTTTTCATTTTAAAAAGTGTTTTGGAATACGTCAACTTTTTACTCAGCTTGCTATACAAAGCTGCTTCCTTCTCAAGTCCTAGACATAATGCCAGGATTCATTTCCCAAACCTCTGGTCTTAATCAAATTCATGCTAAAGAAGCTTGAGTTAATCCCAAGGTCAGTCACAATCCTAACCTTAAACAGGAGATGGCTGATTGCATCACTTACGACATACACCAGGCTGAGGCGGAAGGAGGTCAGACACTCCTTGTCTGTTACGCATGCGTCACACCAGCAGTCCAGCCTGTTCCCTTCCCCAGAGCTCACTGTACAAGATCACTGCAACACCACCTCAAGCCACTGAGCTCACTTGCCTGTCCAGCCATAATGGAAGTCACTTGAAAGTTACCACTGGAATAGATGATTTTCCATAAGTAAGAAGCAAAAATGTTTATTTACTATTTATACCTACTAACGATTCAATCTCTCCATCTCTTCTCGGAGAGCCTGTACTTTTAGGCAAATGGGGGAGGTAAAAATACAAAGGAACAACATCTATGCACAAATGTGTGTCCTATCTTCCTTATTAACTTCCTGGAAAACTGCTGTTTCTGAACATTCCATTTTCTTGAGAAGGAGAAATTTTATGTAACTGTTGTACACTGTATGAAGGAAGGGATTTCTCTTTTTAGACTTCATCTCATTGTATAGGTTTCACTCTCTAGGTTTTGAGAGTGAGAAGGGGGGAGACCAACAAACCACACAGAGCAGTATAAAGTACATTCTGTGTCAGCAACATGACAACTCCTCTAATATCATCCATGCTGACTAAGTAATTTCTGGTGGAGTTGAATACATTATTAAATTTCTATTTGTGTTCTGCCTGAGGCTTTTCCCTAACCACTAATTGCGAGTGAAGGTCTAGAGAACTTTTGTGAAAGGGGCAGAACAAAAGCAATGTCCTGGTCTGTAGCCAGGTGTCAGTGCACTGTATGATAGAGAAAGAGGATTACAGGGAGATTTTTGTTTCAGCCTTTAGTCTAACCAAGATTTAAAAGACTTACAGAAAACAGCTTCATGGGGTTGGGGGACAGAAGTGTAGAGAACAGAAGATAGGAGGACAGGGGGAGTAGTAAACACATCCAGTAGAATTCAGGGGTAAAAAATACCCACACAAGTTCACAGAGTATAAAGGAACAAGAAGGAATACTTCCTGCACCATATACAGATCAGGGGATAGGGTGAGTGGGGCACAGTGGATTAGCCACTAAATGGCTTCTGTGATAATTCTGAAACCTGTTCCAGTTTAATTTTGGAATAAATTCTTCTGGACAGGTCAAAGATTGTGCTTTAAAAATGTCATTAGAAGGTTACAGCTTTTAAAATATTCTTTTGCCTCCTGCTTCCAGGTGATTTCCTTTTGGTTAAAAACCAGAAATAGTATAAACCTCACAAGATGAAAGAACAGTCTTTTGATACAGGTGAGGTGAGCATCTAGATGAACTTACACAGTAAGTGAGAGAGTCTATACTTCTTGGTCTTCTCCCTTGACCACTCCAAGTCTCTGACCTACCAGAGATGGCAGTTCATTTCCTGTGGAAGAAGCCAGTAATAGACACTTGTCTGTTGCCTTTGCCCAGAGCAGCAGTCCCTTTCTTGGGGCCCTTTCGTTCCTCTTTGGGTTCTTTTTTCACAGGCATGGCTGAGGGTCTGTGTACAGAGGATGTCTTCATCTTAAGCTCCTCTTCACTATCTGTGCAGGATTCACTCTCGTAGAATTTTTCAGTCACTGGCAGAATAAGGAAAAATGGAGTATGGGTAGGTTGAGTCATTTACGCTATCAAGAGAATAAGATGTCTTGCTTACCCCAATCACCTCAGACCCTCTGATCAAGACAGGTGTGCTTACCTAGTACCAAACATTTCTCCCACTGAGAGATCAGATCTAGCTTCAGGTAGGAAGTATGTCGAATCCTGAGCTCACAGCCTTTAGTTGGGGCTCAGAATTAACATTCACTCTTCCTCCCTCATTGCTATTATCCCATGCTTTTAAATGAGACTTTATCATTTAATTGTCCAAATCCTTTATGTGGGTCCTGGTCTATGCTAGCCAACTTCCTGAGCTCCACATCTGAATTGTCTATATCTCAAACACCTACTTACAACTCTACACTTTGGCTGGCTTCTTAAGTCTCATCTGCCTGACCCACAGTGCCTATTCCCATTGCTGGTCTTAAATCTCTGGTCTACTTGCCTGCTCCATTCTGTGTAGCCAAGCTCACCACCATAGACCTTCTTGGCTAGCTCTATCCTGATGTTACCCATTCTCTGCACATCCTAAGTATAGAGAATTGGAGACTAGTCACTCAGCTGTTTGGTTCTTAGTTCTGAATGGCTGCTAATTAACCCAAGACTTAGTAGTAGTAGTCTACATCATGAAGGTAACTGTCCCAAGCAAATTCTGTCAGATAACACACTTGATAGTTTTAAGGAAAGACAATGATACAATGAGAAACAAAGTTACCAGAGTTCTCTTACTCCCTATCAGCCAAAGGCATAATCTGACTTTTCCCCTGCTATTAAAACTCATTGAACCTTCCCCAAGGGAAACTTAGATAAGAACTACATCAGTGAGCAATCATTATGAGCAAGTCCCAAAGGACACAGGCACAGACAGTGCCTTCCAAACATGATGTCACAGAACTGAGGAGGGTCTCTTTCATACTACTACAATACATACACCAACCACAAGGAACAGTATCATGCCACCTTCCTATGACTTTAGAGAGCTACAGCAACTGTATAACCAATACCATCTAAATTCTTTCTCAGCCTTCCTGGTTGCAGCAAGTGATAGAGAAACTGTGAAGGAAAACATTTTTTTCCTAGCTAAAAAGAATAACCTAATATGCATAATAAAGGCTCAAATGATTAAAGTGAAAGGTACTTTATCTCATTAAAGAACAATGATAGTCTCAAGTTTTTAATTATTGATAATTCTTTCTAATAAAATACATTAGTCAAACTGTCCTAGAGGCATAAGCTTTGGAATCAAATGTATCTGTGTTCTAAAATCTAGTCTGCCACTTATATAATCTCAAATTTAACGTGTATCATAACCACCTGTAGGGCTCATTAAAACACAAATTGCTGGATTTATTTCCAAAGTTTCAGACTCAGTCTGAGGCGGGACCCAAGAATTTGCCTTTCTAACATGTTCCCAGGTAATGCTGGCTGATGCTGCTGGTCTGGGGACCACACTTTGAGAATCAATGTTCTTTCCTCCCCTGTTTAAAATGCTGAAGTGTTATTGTCACGGAGCATTCCTTCACCCTTATCCATCTAATCCCACTAAGACTGCATAATTAACAATCTCTTCCTTAAGAGTTCCTAGAATTTGTCTTTACTTTTAAGAGCCTACAATTCACTTTGATGACTCCTGCTCACTTAGAGGCTAAAAAATACTGATAAGCTTTAAATTACATTAAGCGTTTTCAAAGGCCTTACTACTCAAACAGTACTCCACAGATCAGAGGCATCAGAATCTCTCATGAGCTTATTAGAAATGCAGAATCTTGGGTCGCTGCTGAACCAGAATTTGAATTTTAGCAAGATCTTCCAGTAATGCACATAGCAAAGTTTGAGAAATGTTGCTTTAAAATACTTAGGGAATTTCCATGTCATACCTATTAGTTTAGCAATTATGATCCCAGAACACCACCCCCATCTCACATGCATCTTTAAAAGCATTATGTAACTGAATGAATGAGACAAAATTATGAGCTGTTATTTATTAAATACCTTAAATTAGGAAAGTCTGAAGAGCCATCTACAGATACAGAAAGGAAATGACTCACTACTAGTTAGTGGTGTAAGACTTAGCCCCTTCATAAGCTATATTCTGTATTCAAATGGTAACATGTCTATAATATTACACTTCAGCACCATCAATTAGCTCATTATTTCATTACCTTTTTTTTTTTTTTTTTAAAGAGACGAGGTCTCACTATATTGCCCACGTTGGTCTTGAACTCCTGGCCTCAAGTGATCCTCCCACCTCAGCCTCCCAAGTAGCTGGTATTCCAGGTGTAAGTAACCACACCTGATTTTTTAGAGATGGGATCTCATTATGTTGCTCAGGCTGGTCTCAAACTCCCGACCTCGAGCGATCTTCCTGCCTCAGCCTCCCCAGTAGGTGGGACTATACATGCAAACCATAATACCCAGCTCGATTTCATTACTTATAATAGTAATGGAACCACTGGCTGTCTCATTGCCAATTTTGTGCAATACATTGCTTGGAGGAGTTAAAAAACAGAGCAGCACAAACAAAATTTCTTAAGTAGCATATGTGGTATACTTTAAGAGCTAAAAGGCATATTTCTATATTCAAAGCTGTAGGTACTTCAAACTCCAGGACAAAAGACATGTTGACTTGAAAATATAGGACTTTTATTTTAGCTGAACAATACTTTTTGGGACTGCCATCAAAAAAAAAAAAAAAAAAGCCTGGTTTGCATAGGTAACATCAAATTTCTTTTTCATTCAACTGCTTTGCTCTTAAAAATCCACCCCTTGTCCAAGAGTCCACCCCAAACCTGTCTCAGGGGCTCAACTCCCCAGTCTCTGCTTCAAACTCACAGAAAGGGAAAGATCAGCTTTTTAAACCCACAGAACAAATCTGATCCAGCATAGGACAGGGCAAGCCTCTGTGCTGGTACATCTGGAACAGTCTGAGCAGAGGGGAGAAAGCAGAACTCCTTTGTTGGTAACCAAAGCCAAGATTCATTAGGTTGAGCTTGGACTAAAAACCTTTTTTAAAAAGTGCTATGTGAGCACAGTTTTCATTGTTGCATCCAAGGCTCTTAATAGTCCTGTCTGGAGACAGGAGTGCAAAAAAGTCCACATCCCACACCTGGCCAAAACTTGAGTACTATGTTTTAAACAAAGCAATAGGTAATTAGCTACAAATTCCCAATGAACTCTCACAAAGATATATTTGATTTTTTTCTTTTGGGGTAGAAGGAGGAAGAAAAAACATGGCACTGATGCTTCTGTCTTCTTAAATTTAGAAGAAAAAAAAAAGAAACTAAGAAATTCAACAGTAAATACATACGTTACCACCAACGGCCAAACCAAGAGGCTTGAAAATGAACTATTAGAAGACTGAAAGCCAAAAAAGAACAAAAAACCCACTCAAAGTCCAGAATTCATAGGCTCACAAGAAATTTGGCACTGAAAAGACAGAATTTCCACATGTAAAGATTTTTATTCCCCAATCACATGCTACAATTAAAATGGCAGAGGCCTTTTCCGAAGAGTAGGAGGTGGGGAATAACGGGACAGGGCACACAACCAACAGAATGTCTTCACTAGTTTTAAGAACCACATTACCTAGGAAAAGCTGATTCTTCAGAGACAACCTTTTTAAAACAGAAATTTGAAGTAGAAAAGGAAAATCAAGAAAGGGGAAAACAAATCTTCTCTAGGAGATTCAAGCTGTGGCATGTGCCACAGTAAAGGAGAAATGACAATCATGGGCTATCCAACCATCACAACGTTTAATGTTTAAGAGCATAAACCCACAGCTCTTTTCAAACACAAAAATATCAGGCCTCACTCAAGTGCTAAATCCTAAAAGGCTCACAGAAGTCTGGTTTGATTGTGGAAAGGGCAGAAGCTAAAACATGGCTGAAGAATCAGCCAGTAATTCAAAGCCTGAATTCTAACTCCTCTCTAGGCCCTCATAACACTCACATGCTTTTACCTAACATGGCTTACAAATAGAAAATATAAAGGAAGCAATCTGGATGAGTCATATTCCTCTGAAGAACAAATGGAACCGAATACCACAGAACACTCCTGATACTCTCTTCATCTGTAGGAGCTTCTTTTCTACTGTTCAAATTTATAAAATCACCATTCTAAAAAAACAAATGTTTCTTGACATCTATGATAACATCTTAAGTTTGTACTGTGGTTTTCATCTTGAGAGTGTTTTAAGATATGTCACCTGAATCTTCATAACAACCCCACATTTAGGCAAAATGGATATTTATTTTACCTCCATTGCACAGATCAAGAGACTCCCCACCAAAGATGACATGACTTTTAGTCAAGATCTCAGTGCTAATTTTTTATAGTCCATGGACCAAATAAGAACCCAGGTGTTCTGAATTTAGTCGTAGCATTTTCCATACTCTGCTACTTGAAGTCTGGGCCACAGACAAGTAACATCAGCATCACCTGGGTGATTCATATGCAAATTAAAGTTTGAGATGAACTGCTCTAAAGAGGATTATGGTACCTCTCTACAGTAATGAGAGATCCTATCTCTGGATTTGGAGCCAAAAATTTGTCTTACCCATAGAGCCATCTGTATCCACAAAAGTTTTAGATTTCAGTACACGTTTTCGTTTTCTTTTGTTTTCTCCACTTGAGCTCTAAAAGATGATCAGAGTATACAATGTTAAGTTGACCAAGGAAGCTACAGAGAAAAATAACAACAGCTTTTAAATCTATAACAATCGCTCTCCAATATTCCATTATGATAAAAAGTTCAAAGAGCAACACTACACATTAATTTCTGGGGACCAACCCAACCACCCAGAGAAGCTATGCTCACTGTATGCACAGGCTTGATATTTCATTGTTTATGAGAAGGAAAGTAACATGCTAAGGAAAGAACTGTGTTCATTCAGTCAACAAACTTTTGTTGGGTAGTACAGGCACCAGGGTTAAAAAGACAAACAGGATAAGGACTTTAGTGGAGGAGAGAGACAAGGAAAGCAGACCACAGCAATATACCACGGTCAGGGTTTTAACAGAGGACTAGGGAAGATAATGGGAACACACAGAGACGGCCTCCAAACCAGATCAGCAGTTTCTATGGCTTATGCCCTTGTAGTAGATACTTGTTATATCAGCACTGACATTTCAACATTACACTCATCTAATTTAGTCTCAAACAAGAATTACTAATACCAATTTCCCTTTATCTCCACTGGACTCTTTCATCCCATTTCCTCTTCAGCTAATGAGGAAATCAGTGTAAGATTTAAATGACAGCAGTCTGAACACAATAAATTAAGGGAAAACTAATAGCCACAAAGAAAAAAAAACTTGTCAGCACCCATTATCTCTTCATTATCTACACTAATAGATGTAGACAAGATGCAGCTGAAGATCATTTAAAACTTTATTTCCCCCAACCTGAGCAAGAGCGAGACCCCATCTCTACAAAAAAAGAAAAACTAGCAACACACAGTGGCATGCACATATAGTCCCAGGTATTCCGGAGGCTAAGGCAAGAGGATCACTTGAGCCCAAGAGTTTGAGATTGCAGTGAGCTAGGATCACACCACTACACTCTAGCCCAGGCGACAGTGAGACCCCGTCTCAAAAAACAAACAAAAACCAAAAAAACCCTGTATTTCCCCATTGGTTGCCAGTTTTTCTCACCCAGCCCTTTTCCAGAAGAGCTTCTAAAGAGCAACAAATGTGCATGAGTTGTTTGTTCCCTTCTATCTTTCACACTTTGCTCTGATGTAGGCAGGACCTCTTTTTGCAGGATTCCAACAGGAGGTGTATAACACAGCAGAGATGCTGAAGGTCATGAAAAACAAAACAGCTCCGAGATCCACATCTGCAACCCTCCTGAGACTATACACCCTACAGCAAAATTTCCCTTCAGGTGAGGAGGGAGGGAATGTCCATTCTGTACAACCTGTACGAGAGCAGAATGAGACAAGAGCCATCTACTGGCATTTGTGAAGTATACAGCAAGTGAACTGATTAAGCATAGTAGCTGTGGGTCCCTGGGCACTAAAGGACAAATGGAAATGCAAGCATCCCAGTATAAAGTTTTACCTTGATGGAAGGAGGTTCGGAATCAGTCTTTGGCACTGGTTCAAGAGGTGGAGATACAGGAGGAGGGAGGGATGGTGACTCAGCTTCAGAAGCCCCAGGAGAGTCTGGGAAGACTAAAATAATGAAACAAGCTTAGATAAGAGAACTACAAGCACTATCTGGTATGATGGCTTCTCCACCAGTTCTCTAAACTTCCATGTGCAGCAAAGGGCATTCTGGAAGCAGTAATTCATGATTAAAAAAAAACCTTTATGGTTATACAGTTATCTTTAAAATACACATTTTATTAATTGTATATAAATAAAATCAGAGAATCAAGAATTGTTAGAGTTGGAAGTACCTTAGCTAAATGTTTTTTTTTTTACAGCTAAGTCAGGGTAGGAAGCTGGTTTATCAATATTCACTGATTACCTACCACGTGTCATGTATTTCACTTTATCCTCACAACAACCCTAAGAGACAGATATTTGCACATTACGGTTGAGTAAATAGAGGTTCAGAGAGGTTTCTTAACTTGCCAAGGTCTCATAACTTGTGAGACAGCATGTTTTAACCCTCAGTCAGATTCCACAGCCTTGTTATTCCAAATATCCCATGCTGCCTTACCATTCAGGACTAAACATTTTCACTCAAGATCTAAGTGGAGATAATCCTCAGATTATACCAAATGTTCCATGCCAGAGTGTTTGTGATTGTGATCTAAGGATTACTTGCATCACCTAAGATATCTGTTAGATTGAAAATTTCTGGCTGATGTTGAGTATAAACCTGGGGATGAGGGGAGGATCATCTTTGAAATGATCACAATTAAAGCTCTAACAACTAAGACCTGCTTAATACTTTGTATGGGAACTACTATTCCTAGTGATTGCCCCACTGATGAGGCTTGTTGTGCTGCACTGAGATTAGCAGGAAAGAACACATTTAGGAAGGATATATTGCTATGGAAGTGGCATCACCTGAGAAAAAAGCACCACCAAAGGAATCCCATCCTTCCTCAATAGTTCCAGAAATAGTGGTCTTAGTATAAGGCCCAGGAGAGAGGAAGTGAAAATCCTCAGCTGACCTATTGCTTAATCACCACAAAAAAATTGCTGGTCAGGGGACTGGGTAGCTGCTTAGCCTCACCTGCTCCCTGAATCTCCTGGCTATATTTAAATTCTTAGCACAAGTCTTGGATCTAAAATTCTCCCAGCTGATTAGGTCAGTGTTAAAAATTATGACAGCGGAGGGTTCAAGGCCAAATGACCTAAAGAGGTGAAGCATAAAAAGAGCCAAAATGAAACAATAAATTATACACTTCAAGTAGGAAATGGGTCCCCAAACTTTATAAGCTCTGGGAAACAAGACACAGAAACATAAAAGGAAAAGTGGTCCAGCTATTAACCCAGCTCTGGGAGGCTAGAACATGATGGGAGTTCAAGCAAGAGAAAAGTTAAGCCCCAGAAGCAAGCATGCATTGCTTTAAAGGAATACTTATTAACAAAGCTGAGCCACAATGGTAGATGGGCTAGAGTGGTAGCAGGAAAGATTAGCCAATGAGGAAACCAAAGAAAAGGAATTTTGAGCACTCACAGTGATTGGTTGACACAGCTGAGCCCTGATTGGCTGGTTCAAGTGAGCCCTGAAAGTCCTAAATAGAAAAGGTGTGCCGATGCAATACATTTTTACTGACATAAGCATAAGTAATGCTTGATACATTGGTATATTTTAAACATATTTGTAAGTAAGTAAATAAATAAACAGGCCAGGTGTAGTAGCTCACACAGGTAATCCTAGCACTTTGGGAGGCTGAGGTGGGAGGATCACTTGAGGCCAGGAGTTGGAGACCAGCCTGAGCAACAGAGAAACCCTGTCTCTACAAAAACATTTAAAAAATTAGCCAGACATGTTGGTGCAAGCCTGCAATCCCAGCTACTCAAGAAGCTGAGGCAGGAGGATTGCTTGAGCCCAGGAGTTTGAGGTTGCAGTGAGCTATGCTGATGCCATTATACTCTAGCCAAGGCAACAGAGCTAGACCTTGTCCCAGTCAATCAATCAATTTGCAGCAAATCTGCAGCTCTTCAGATGAAAGATACATAAGTAGTCAAACGTCACTTATCCCAGGAAAGCAAGCTTTGTTGGGGCAGAATAAAAACTTTGGTAAAACTAATTTCAAGAGTCCAACAATGTAACCACTTGTTTGTCAAAGCGTTCTCTGGCAGAGATGGGTAATTAGAATTCCTGGAAAGCAGTCACAGCTTGCTAGGACTCATTATTTTAAAAAATGCCTATCCTTACCTAAAAAGGAGGATCATTTGCTTAATATTTTCCACAAGCAACTTGAAAAGACTGAAAATATTAGCAGAGACTTAAACATATTCATTAAAACTATATTTCTTCCTAATAATGTAGATATTATTCTTATGTTTTTTCTTTCTGGGTCTGGTTTTTTTGTTTGTTTATTTGTTTGTTTTCTTTACAGAGTATGTAGAACCACTAAAGGTACTTATGACCCTGCCAGGGTGAAGGAGAATGAATAGTCCCTTGGGTAGAGAGTTACAAATATGAAATTAATGGAATTTTTGGAGAGAAGGTACTTTCCAGTATGTCTACTACTGCTAAACATTTACTGCACATCTCAACAAGAAGAGTAAAGTGAATAATAAGAACACTGACTATGTACCAAGCACTGTCCTAGCACTTTTGACATACCATCTTATTTGATGTTCATAAAAAGCCTACACAGGCCGGGCGCGGTGGCTCACGCCTGTAATCCTAGCACTCTGGGGGGCTGAGGTGGGCGGATCGTTTGAGCTCAGGAGTTCGAGACCAGCCTGAGCAAGAGCGAGACCCCATCTCTACCAAAAATAGAAAGAAATTAATTGGACAGCTAAAAATATATAGAAAAAATCAGCCGGGCATGGTGGCGCATGCCTGTAGTCCCAGCGATCGGGAGGCTGAGGCAGGAGGATCGCTTGAGCCCAGGAGTTTGAGGTTGCTGTGAGCTAGGATGACGCCACGGCACTCACTCTAGCCTGGGCAACAGAGCGAGACTCTGTCTCAAAAAAAAAAAAAAAAGCCTACACAGTTTGTGATAACACCCCCACTTTAGAGATGAGGAACAAGGAATTAAAAAAGCTAAGTAATCTGCCTAAAGTCACATAGTAAGTGGTGGAGGTAAGATTTAAACCCAGATCTGACTCCAAAGTCCTTGCATTTCCTCCCATCATGCTGCTTCTCTGCTAATTTCTAGTTTAAGACAGCATATCGAATTAATATACATATTCAGGGTAACACAAATAAAGCAATAATAAGTTAGAGACTGTGTAAAGGTTTAAAATAAAATCTCACTGGCTTTGAGACAAAGAAGAAATTTAAGAATCAAATGGCAAAGGTTTATAAATTTAGTCAGATGCCAAAAACTACCTTTGCCAGAGAAAAAAATCTGAGAGCCTCTGGTCTGTATCATCTGTTATTATAGGTTATTTGCCTCTATCACATTTCTTCATATTCCTTTCAAAACTAAATAAGCCCACTCATATTTCTAATCACCCACAGGTATTATTTTTGTGGGCTGTGGATCAGAACTATAGAGTATTTCAGAAGTATATAATGAGTGCTCAATCAACCATAGTAATTTCTCAACTTAGAGCTATCTCCTTCACTAATACTACAGTATCTAGTGTACCTTTTTAATGTACATTAGAGGCTGATGGCTTCAAAGACTTTTCCAGAATCTTCCCCAAGGTCTTTTCCTGATTGGAAATAGGGAAGACTGTTCCAATTTGCACAAATTGCTAAATTTACTTCCTAATTATTTTCCCAAGTGTCTGCATGGAGTTGCCCATCTTTCTTTCAGTAGCCTTGGTCAAAGCATTTTGATAAATGACATGGAATGAAAATATAGCAACTGCCCCTCTGGGATGCTCACAATGCCCTACCCCTATTCATTCCAAAGAGCTATTAAAAACTCTACCTCTGGCTGTGCAGAAGCTTTTTAATTTGATCAGGTCCCATTTATTTATTTTGGTTGTTGCTGTGATTGCCTTTGGGGTCTTCTTCATAAATTC